AGTTAGGCTGCGTTCGACAGAGGGAGAGATGTGAGAGAGTCAGATAGATTGATAGTCATCCAGGGTTGGTCCTAGCTAGACCGAGCGACCAGTGCCACTAGCAAGGTCAAAAGTGCCAGGAGCCTCATTGTGATTCTAGAGTCTTTTGAGAATAGCAAGGGGGTGGGGATTCGACCCTTTTGAGCTAACAGGACACTGTAAATCAAATTCGGGATCCCAACGTGGATTAACCATGACATTATTTTGCGCAAGACTGACAGGTTAAAAAAATACTCTCAGGTCTTTTGTCAGTTTATGTCCCTGCCTTGGAGCTGACCTCAATAGAGAACTTAATGTATACTAAGCTGATCTTCTGTATATCAAGATAAATGAAAATGAATCTTGATGTGAATGGAAGGGGAGAGGGAGTGGGAAAGGGGAGGGTTGTGGGTGGGAGGGACGGTATGGGGGGGAAGCCATTGTAATCCATAAGTCGTACTTTGGAAAATTATATGCATTAAATAAAAGTTTAAAAAAAAAAAAGTAGCTATGAATTGTGTGTTTGGTCTGGATAATGAAAACTTCCTAGTCCATAAGAAACTGTCTCTTTTTAAGGTTATGAGAAGACAGATGATGTTTCAGAGAAGACCTCGTTGGCTGACCAGGAAGAAATACGGACTATATTCATCAACCAGCCTCAGCTGACAAAATTCTGCAACAACCATGTCAGGTAGAAACTACCAAAGGCCACAGGAGCAGCCATCACAGCAGAGCTCAAGAAGCCAAAGAGAAATGAATGCTTGCAAAGAGCCTTCAGTGTGCTCAGCTAATATTTGAGAGTTCCTAGGCACCAGTGTGAATGCACTGCTTCCCCAGAATAGGAAATCATAAAGGAAGAGGCAGACAGGATAAGTACCCATCCTCTACCAATTCTATGCCTGAAGTCTGAATAATGAAAGCTGTTTATGGTAAAACCTGTGATAGAATCATTTTATATAACACCTTTTATCCTTTTAGAACAGGCCATTGCAATTTTGCACCAAAAGCTTCTTTCTGTTAAACAGTCTTTGAATAGTGGGTGTTGTTGGTGCTGTAAGGTCTGGTTGGTGTTCAGGAATGGAGGGTGAGGTTACTTCTCCGCCCTGTCATTGTCTCCTGCTGTCAGCGCTGTGCAAAGAACCCCTGTAAGCACTGGTCACCAAGTGGCCTCTGGAACCACAGGAGCAAGCCCAGGGCTAGCCCAGTGTCCCTGCAGTGGCAGAATTCCAGACTTGAGAAGTATCCTTTTAAAAATCCTATTTACAGCTTCAAATTCCAGAGCAGCATTTCTCCATTTGGAGAAGGTGGCGTGAGTCTCCTCACGCTGTTTGATTTGGTGGTGGGCCTATCTGGTGTGTTCAATGCGAAGTCCTAGCCAAGTTTTCTAGGATGGCCATGAAGAAAATTCAGGCAGAATTCCAGAAACTCCCCATTTCCCTGAAGTTACTGAGGAAGGGCATGTATAGTGTGTCTGGTGCAGCTCAAATTGCTGATTTTTTTGTTTTTTTGTTTTGTTTCTGCAAGGTTTTGTTTTCTATTGTGTATATATTAGTTTACCTGTAGTTGTTCTTTGTAAGCTACTCCTAGTTAGGTTGAGTAGGATAATTGGAGAAAGAGGACAAAAGGTATTCTATAGAAAATGAAACCCATGGTTTTCACCCTTTACTATTTATTTTGCCAGTTCCTTTTACTCTTTTTCATTTAAGTCAATGACCCTTTGCAGTATTCTCCCAGTTGAAACAGTAGGCAGATGTTCACAGGGTCATTTTTTTATGTGATGGTAGCAGAACTTTGTAAACGTGGGTGCTGATTGCAGAGTATTTGAGTCTTATGCTACTTCTCATTTTTTGTTTTCTAGCACTGCAAAATACAACATAATAACATTCCTTCCAAGATTTCTCTACTCTCAGTTCAGAAGAGCTGCTAATTCATTTTTTCTCTTTATTGCACTGCTGCAGGTAAAGTCACATCATAAACCCTTTGTTCAGTACATGTTCAGGTACTAACAAATGCTTTGGTTAACTCAGTAGCCAGTCCCTGAGGATTATACAAGTACAGAGGGAGAAGCTGACTATTGAGGACAGTTCCAACTCCTGCAGGCAGGATCAGAATGCTGCTGCTCCTCAAGCTGTTTGAGTCATGTTTATCAGCTTACTTAAAGAGATCTACAGATTTGATGTGGCAAATACTCATTTTGGGTGGCAAAGGAGGGTGGAATTTCTTTTTTTTTTTTAATTTTTTTGACAGAGTGGACAGAGAGAGAGACAGAGAGAAAGGTCTTCCTTTTGCTGTTGGTTCACCCTCCAATGGCCGCCACGGCCGGCGTACCGCGCTGATCCAATGGCAGGAGCCAGGCACTTCTCCTGGTCTCCCATGTGGTGCAGGGCCCAAGCACTTGGGCCATCCTCCACTGCACTCCCAGGCCACAGCAGAGAGCTGGCCTGGAAGAGGGGCAACCGGGACAGAATCCGGTGCCCCGACCGGGACTAGAACCCAATGTGCCGGCGCCACAAGGCAGAGGATTAGCCTAGTGAGCCGCGGCGCCGACTGGAATTTCTTAAAATAATGTATTTTCACAGCAGTCAGATGGTCGATTCTGAACCTTGGAAAGCAAGAATCAGCATTTTAAATCCTGTGTTTGTCATATTTGAGTTTGTTGCAATCAAAAAAAAGTCTAAGGTTATAAAAAGTAGCATATGTTCATTGTAAAAAAAAAAGAATTTAGAAACACAACAAAGCATGAAGAAAAAAATGTAAAACTCATTATTGCATCACCAGAGGTAGCTACTCTAAAAATCTGGATGTGTATCATTCAGCTCTCTCTTTTCCCTCCAAAGCATTGTTTATTATTTTAGTTTATAAGAAAAGAGGGAACATGGAGTACATATCATTTTCTGATCTGCCTTCTTCCTTTAACACTTTGTGAGCATTTACCCAGGTGTTCTCTCTGCTTCCAAAACATCATTTTAAATGGCTCTATGACATTTTAGTCTGTAGATACACTATTTATCATTTATTTCACCAATCCCCAACTGTGGGTGTTATTCCCGTATATTTACCAGCCAATCATGGAGCTAAGTAACATGCTCTTCCAGCTACTTATTAAAATCAAGCAAATTGCCTCACCAGTGTTAGTCTGCCAAAGTGGTAAAATCACTGAGGTACGTTTTAGAAAGCACTTTGTCTTTGTTGTTTTTAAATTGACCATACCCTCTCTCTAGTTCTCATTGGATTTCTCTCGCTTGTTTTTCTTCAAATAGCAAATACCTGATGTATCACCAACGGGTCGCTACACAACACTGGTTCCTCTCCTATTTATTTTAGCTGTGGCAGCTATCAAAGAGATAATAGAAGATATTGTAAGTATTTAACTCTTTTTGTAAGTAATTGTTTTTCTATACATTTGAAAATATTTGTTTCTTAAGTTATGTAATTGTTGGTAGAGACTATTTACAATGCTCATTAAATATGCAAATGCATAGAATACATTCTTACTCCTGAGAATAACTGCTGTTGATTTCTATGAGATTAATTTTGAGGAATGCTTATTACAGTGTTCTGTTACATTTATAGTTTAGTCAGAACACATTAATTAAAATACAGTAGTTGACATGGAGAAGAAACTATACTTGAGCATTGTTTTAAGTTAAATGAAATAACCGCCCAGTTATCTGTATGTAAAAAAATTTTTTCATTTTAAATTTATATACCATAGGTTTTACCTTATCAAGTGCCTTTGATTCCTTTTTTCTTTGTTTTTTCTTATTTTGTCTTATTTGCTTTCTTTTCTTTTAAAAGCAAGTAGCAACAGTTTTGCTATTTTTATCATTCTCTAGTGGTAGAAAAAAGGGGAAGTCGGTTTCTCCTTTATAAAATAAATTCACCAAAATAAATTTAGACTTTTCCCCCTCTATCTTACCTATTCTTAAAGTCTAGCTTGAGAAAGTCAATGTTTTGTTATATTTGTTTTTCTTTTTCTTTTCCCTATCCTTTTAATATATTTTCCTCTTTGGCTTTCTGAAATGACCTTCTCTCAGGCCTTTGGGAAGTGAGATAGTAAGGCCAGAAAAAGCTGAGAAACTCTTTAGAAAGCTCCAATTTAAAGGTTCACAAACATTAACATTACTTTTGTAGAGAATCAAACCGGGACCTCATTAAGAAGACATGAGACATAGCTTCACTAGACCTATTAGAACGGGGCTCGTTTAACATTTAGATCAGTCTACAAAGCATGCCAGTATCTAAGAGTAGATGCAGAGGTGGTGTGTGTGTGTGTGTGTGTGTGTGTGTGTGTGTGGAAATGACATGCTTGATAGAACCACTAGCTGAGAAATTTGACTTTTTTCCTATCCTGCTGCTCACACATTTGTCATTCTTTAAATTATAGCTAGATTTTACACTTCTCGTAAGGACTGGTTTTCACAATAACTTTGTCTCTTTCTGTTCTTTATATACTCTTTTTTTATTTCTGTTGTTAACCTAATTTTCACTGCGCACCTGTTAGTTACTATCCATTGTGTTATTGTTTGGCAAATATTTTTCTCATTTAATTTTCTCCATGATTTTGTGAAGTGGATTTTAACCCCAGTTGAAGGTAAGGATTCTGAGGCTTAGCTGGTTATGTAACTTGTCCAAGAAAGTGGTGGAATCAGAATCCCTTCCATTCAGAGCTGCTTACTCTGTCCACATTATGGGAGTTTAAGTTCCATGTACTTATTAGTCTATGTCCTTTACATTTGTTAAATCCTTTTACAGCCCTTTATCCCCATTTTACAGATGAGGAGGAGGCTAGGGGTGAGGCAACTGTCCAAGGTCACACAGCTGGTAACTGGAGCTGCCAGATTCCAACAAGGCACTTGGGCCCCAGAGCTGCCCTATAATCTCTAACCTTTCCCCCATCCACATCCACATCCCCTGCTTTTTTTAATCCCTGACAAAGTTATATGCACTCAAGCTATGATTTCTAGGACCCTTGTCTTTGAAAATACATGAGAAATAAAATTTTATCCAAGAAGTTTATTTTTACAAAAAACCTTATTAACATAATACAGTGGAATACTACTAGAAAGTAGCTATTCAACCAGTCCATGAAGGATGCACTCCTAGTGTTATTAGGTGTCATATGAAGCGGTTTTCCAGTGTTAAGAAATTGACTACAAGTTATAAGAGTTGTTCAATAAGAAGTTTATAACAAACTATAAATGATAGAGCACTTGAACTGTTATTCCGTAGGAAGGGTAGAAAAATCAAATAATAGTTTAGATAGTAGACAAAGAGCTATCTTTATCAATAGTGAAAATAGACGTATCTTCATTCATGCAACATAAATATCTAAAGTCTAAGGCATCAGGCGTTCATAAAAATATGTATTAGGATTTGTTAAACTTTGCTGCAGCAGTAGTCATGTCCCCATGTAAGTGGCTTAATACGTTATTTTTCACTCACTCAAAGACACTGCAGGTGGTTGTTGGGGTGGAGGGCAGGAGGTGCCCCTGCTCCGTGCAGTCAGGAATGCCTTCTGAATAAGGTTCCGCTGTGTTGAACGTTGGTGACCATCATAACAGGGAAGGGGAGAGGGAATGGAGACCCCACTTCTGTGTTTTGACCTACAGATGGTTCATACTGCATCTGCTTATAGCCCAGTTAGAACTAATGGCAAAGGGGAGATGTTGTCTCAACGTCCATGGAAGTAGAGAACTCATTGTTGGTGAAGACAGGTAGTGTTTGCACCTGTAGATCAGTGAAAAAACACAACTTACAGTCTAGTCAACCACTTCTATATTCTGTTAAACAACTGACAGTATTTTATCCTGAAACCTTTAAAAATAAGAATTGCCTTCAGGTGAGATACTGAAAACTTGTCCACCACTGTACATTTTGGTGGTTTGGACATCTTAGCCTAATGATTTCCTGTTTTTATGTGCATATAACATATGGCATGCACACTACTTTAAAATATTCTGAAATTGATGGAGAACTCTTTTTTTTTTAACTTTTATTTAATGAATATAGATTTCCAAAGTACAGCTTATGGATTACAATGGCTTTCCCCCCATAACGTCCCTCCCACCCGCAACCCTCCCCTTTCCCACTCCCTCTCCCCTTCCATTCACATCAAGATTCATTTTCATTTCTCTTTATATACAGAAGATCAGTTTAGCATACATTAAGTAAAGATTTCAAGAGTTTGCTCCCACACAGAAACAAAGTGAAAAATACTGTTTGAGTACTAGTTATAGCATTAAATCTCAATGTACAGCACACTAAGGACAGAGATCCTACATGAGGAGTAAGTGCACAGTGACTCCTGTTGTTGACTTAACAAATTGACACTCTTGTTTATGGCCTCAGTAATCACCCTAGGCTCTTGTCATGAGCTGCCAAGGCTATGGAAGCCCCCTGAGTTCACTGACTCTGATAATTTTTAGACAAGGCCATGGTCAAAGTGGCAGTTCTTTCCTCCCTTCAGAGAAAGGTACCTCCTTCTTTGAAGACCTGTTCTTTCCACTGGTATCTCACTTGCGGAGATCTTTTTTTTTTTTTTAACTTTTATTTAATGAATATAAATTTCTAAAGTACGATTTATGGATTACAATGGCTTCCCCCACATACCGTCCCTCCCACCCACTACCCTCCCCTTTCCCACTCCCTCTCCCCTTCCATTCACATCAAGATTCATTTTCGATTATCTTAATATACAGAAGATCAGCTTAGTATACATTAAGTAAGGATTTCAACAGTTTGCTCTCACACAGAAACATAAAGTGAAAAATAATAGATGATTTTTTTAAATGATGATGAAATCAGATCAGACCTATT